AATGTTTTGTATTGTGATTACAATGTAATGTGTTGTGGTTACAATGTAATGTGTTGTGATTACAATGTAATGTTTTGTATTGTGATTACAATGTAATGTATTGTGTTGTGTTGTGTTGCGATTACGTTATGTATTGTGTTGTGATTACAATGTATTGTAATGTATTGTGATTACAATGTAATGTGTTGTGGTTACAATGTAATGTATTGTGATTACAATGTAATGTTTTGTATTGTGATTATAATGTAATGTATTGTGTTGTGTTGTGATTACGTTATGTATTGTGTTGTGATTACAATGTATTGTAATGTATTGTGATTACAATGTAATGTTTTATAATGTATTGTGAGATAATTTTTGTTCTCTGTTATAAAAATTAGCAAAAACAAATTGTATGTAAAAGTAGAGGTATATTTTACATAGGCTCATGGATTTGAGATACTTTGTGCAAGATGTACAGGCAAGTCAGCATCCAGCAGCAATGAACAAGAAGTGAATGAAGTGAGATGGCAACGATATTTACAGTCTTTAAAAGATAAAGATTATTTCAGGGTGAGTGTAATACACATATTTGACACTCTAAGTAATGGTGAGACCCTCAAAATTTATCTCAGTTCTAATAAGGCCAGACCATCAAGTCAGTGTCACTTATGTAAAGAACAATTCTAACTTTAAGATTTATAATGTTGTATCTGCTTTATTAGTAGCCCTTATTTGTATCTATGTATCTATAAATAAAAGTAATACTTTAACAAGTACAATTTTGGTTTATATGTGCTACTATTGGAGGTGTATTTATTATTAATAGAGCAAATACGATATTCCGTGATTGAATTTGATTTCATCCCTTCAAAGTTAAAACCAACTGACTATATAGCCTGCAATGTATGTTTTTAATACCAGGAATATATTGCTGGATGCAGCTAGAACGCTAAATATTACCGGTATATATGACCAAACCGAGACCGGTACCAGAAAGAGGCTGTCTGTCAGTTTCAGTTCGTCAACTTTATTACTGTTCACTTGCTTTCTTCTTTTGGGAGTTTTCATGAACTCAAGAGTGTAGTTTTTTGTATTGTTCTAAACCTTAGTCTGTTGACGAGTTACATACTACGAGACGTTTCGTTATCCATAAGTCTACAAATTGAATCTGCTCAGTGACGCCTGATAAAATACAGCTCAGTCGTCAAGCCACAGAATATGATATCCATTTTTATTAATAATTGAAATAAAATCTCACCTTTTGTAGGGGGAGTTGAAAGGATCCAGGCTGTACAATGAGCTGATCAAATCTGCTAAAGAGTACTACACAGAAATCATGGTTCATTCTGACAATATGTGAGTAATATATCTCATCCTCACATCTGAAACCATATCATATACCCACTTCTAAATAGAGGTGTGTCACACTTACAGATAGTCCGAAACAGGAACTTTTTTTAGTCATTAGTGCTTCCAATATCATCTCTTGGATTTCTTTGATTCAAAGTTAGTACAACGTCATGGCAGACATGTGCACATTGATTTGTTTTTCATTTTGTTGACCTTTGAATTAAAATCAAAAATAAAATAACCACTTCTCAGGCATGCCTTGGTCAATTTCATTAAAACTTGGTATTGACATCACCCATGGTGGGTTACTGATGCATGTCATTTCATTTGATTCAAAATAACCAACTAGTGACCATATTGTTTTGTTTTTAAGTGTCTTTGTCTATGACATCATTATCAAATTCCAACATGGTGAAGTTGACAGTTACCTGTTCAGGATACAATTCAAAATGGTCGCTTGGCAACCATATTGATTCTATTTGTCCTTGCCAGTTCTCTAATACTTTTTAACAATGAAATTCAACAAATTGGCAGAAATTGTTTTGTTTTTTCTGATTTTTTGATTTTTTAAAATTTGTTTTTTCAGTAGAATTCTTATGAAATTATTTCTTTTTGTCTTTGTGTTCTCAACTCAAATACAGACAGGAACTATGACTTGTGTAATGTTACTTTTACTACTATATGTTTACACTTAGAGAGAGGACAGAGCCCGGACATCAAGTGTTGGAAATACTGCATTCAAATAAAGTGAGTTTTCATGATTTGAAAGTAGCTGAGAAGAATTTACAACCAGAAGATGGTAAGTATAATTCAACAATAGAATAAGTACATTATTCCTATAAGGGCGCCCTCTAGTGAGGAAATGATATAGATTTGTGAAAGTAATGTCTTTCAATTGGATGACTTTGATTGGTTGTGTAGTTGTTCATTTTTAGAACACTGTAAAAATGCATTGATTTTTACTGGGATTTAATTTCTCTGTTTTGATACTTTAAGCATATTCACCGATTAGCAGACAAAACAATGAGTTCTATTGTAGTTTTACATGTTCACAGATATTTAGCAGATTTCACTTGTCAACAAAATTTAAACACAGTGAAAAAATTTCTCTATTTTTTATTGACAAATGACTACAAATCAAAATAATATTGGCTATATGAACAGCCTTTCATTTACATTACAGAAGCATTTTGTCACTAGAGAGGCCACTTCAATCATCAAAACGTTCAAGAAAGTCAGTCGTCAATGTTCAGATTCTGTATGAAGTCACATTGTGTTTCATACCAACTTGTATTAAACCTATATTTTAATTTATCACTATTTTAATTTGTAAAAATGAATTTATTTCATACATGTCATCATTTCCGTTTTGTCCTAATTGTCTTCAGATGACAGCTGGCTATTCCTCACACCTGATCAGCTGGAACAAATGTTGCATGAAGCTGTCGGCAAATCAACGGCAACCTCACTGCCTGATGAGAAAGACCTGTTGTCAGCAATGAGTTATGACCTTGGCTCAGTCGCTGACAACATGAAGGCATTTGTCAACAAAGTATCAAGCCATGAAGGAGCAGAGTTTCCAAAGATGTCAGAAAATGCTCAAATAAACTTTGATTCAAGTGGGTTCCTTGAGGCTTTGGAAAACATGTTAGGAGGTGGTATGTTATGCTTTGACTATTTAACTTTGATTAAGGATTTGTTGTTAATCTTAATGAAGCAAACGTATAACTTATATCGGTATTACTGGGTGATAACTACATACATGTGCCCATAGCAACAACTATTGCCAAGGCAAGTAAGTATTCTACCATTGAAGTTAAATGATATCAAAATGAATTATCACTTTATTAGCTCATATTACTGATTGTCCATCGTCGTCAACATTACAATTTCAACTTCTTCTTCGAAACCGCAAGTCCGAATTTTTTCAAATTTGATATGCAAGTACCTTGGATGGTTCTTTCTCAGATTTGTTCATTTCATGTCAAAATCTCAAATTCTCTAATTTTGATAAATATTTTTGTTATTTTTGGTAAAAAGTGATATTTTCGACTTCTTGTTAAAAACGGCAAGTCCGATTGCTTCGATATTACATATATAGGTACTACATGTGAACCTCTTTCAGATTTGTTCATTTCGCAATGATATCTTTAATTCTCTAATTTTGGTGAATATTTTTGTTTTTTTTTGGTAAAAAGTGATATTTTCGACTTCTTGTCAAAAACCGCAAGTCTGATTGCTTTGATATTACATATCCAGGTACTACATGTATACCTCTCTCAGATTTGTTCATTTCGTGATGATATCTTTAATTCTCTATTTTTCATGAATATCTTCATCATTTTTGGTAAAAAGTGATATTTTGGACTTCTTGTTAAAAACCGCAAGTCCAATTGCTTTGATATTACATATCTAGGTACTACATGTGGACCTCTCTCAGATTTGTTCTATTTGTTGATGATATCTTCATTCAGTAATTTTGGTGAATATTTTTCGTCA